GATTTGGATGATTCCTCCAAGAAGGATTGTATTTGTTTGTGCTCAAATCAACATTAGAATTGAGAGGAAATTTCGAAGAATAACACACACCCGAGGATCTTCAAGTACACATGCTTGAAATTTGTGAGCATTCATGAGTTGAATGATGATTTAAAGTGCAAAGACCACACACAACACCAACAAATGGAAAATTATGTTGCATAGGTACTAGTGTGTGTGCAACATTATGAAATTACTATTGATTTTGTGCCAATTGTTTGACCATAGATACAAGGTTATCAAGTTTGCTCTCCTACTATAGGTGCTCTATTGAATATCCAGTTTTTACCTCATAAACACTTCTCACAACTATGTTGCCTCTAGATGAAAATTGTTGAGAGTTAGTGGGCATGGTTTTAATCAACTATCTTGCCACATTGGGAGTTTTATTGACAAGTGCTTCACCACTTGCTCTATCAATCATGCTTCTAACTATAATGGTAAGTCCTTCATAAAAATATTGATAAGAAGTTGTTCACTAATTTGGTGGTGAGGGCAACTTGAACATAATCTTTTGAATCTCTCTCAGTAATCAAACAAACTCTCTCTGTCTAGTTGTCTAATATCACAATTTTCCTTCCTAATTTATGTAGCTCTTGAGGCTGAAAAATATTTCTCCAAAAAAAACCTCTTCAAGCTCTCCCAACTTATCATAGATCCATGACGAAAATAGTACACCCAGTCTTACCTCATGCAATGAGAATGGAAATGTTTTCAGTTTAATATGATCCTCACTAACACCTTGAAGTCTCATTGTAGAATAAACTATGTGGAATTCCTTTGTGTGGATCCTCACATGCAAGACCACAAAATTTAGGTAATAAATGGATTAAACTTGTTTTTAGAACAAAAGGCGCATCTTCATCATCATCAAATTAAATACATATGTTATGATAAGACACATATGGTGCAGGCAACACTCCTAGAGTTCTCTCATCCATATTATTTTGAGCCATATTTTCAATAGAAGAAGATGAGAAATTAACTTTTTTATTTTTTAAGTTCTTTCAACTTTTGGATCAAATGCAAATGTATTAACATTGTGGGAACGAAGCATTCAAATTCAGATACCAAAAGAGAAAAGAACAAACAAACACAAAAAACACAAACTACTAGAGAAAATCGCTAAGCGGATACTAATTCGTTGAGCGAAATTGTTCTAATGACAAACTAAACTAAGAAACTTGACAAATCTGTGAGCAAATATTATATGTTGAGCGAGATATAACTAACGAAACAAAAATTCATAAAATGGACCCAAAGTGTTGAGCGAAAAATAAATCGTTGAGCAAAAAATGGACAGATTCAAAAACAACCTCATTGCCTAAAATTCTCTCGAGCGAAATTCGGACAATGCTCACACAATTGAACAAAAAAGACAATTCCACTTAGCGAAAAACAAACCCATGAGTGAATAACACAAAATAGTAAAATTTTTAGAGTGTTCAAAGTTTATGACTCAAACAAAACACAAACAATTTAACACAACTAAAAACAAATATTGTACAAGAGCCTTTGACAAAAAAAGAGATTTAAACAAAACAATCACCAATTGCTCCCTGGAAATGAGTGTCATTTTGATGAAGTGAATCTTGTCGCCTAGATCTCATCAAAGAATTTGCAATAAAAATAATGTAGTATTAGGGCTAGCCTAAGTCGTGGTCCTCGGGGAGAATTGCTTAATTTTGTTCAAATCTTAATTTTTAATGTCAAAAGCTAGGAAGTAAGGGGGATTTTATGATTTTGAATGCGAAAGGTAAATTGAAAGCAATAAACTATGAACTAATTAAAAGCAGTAAACTAATATATTAACAATAATAAATGGAAGCATGTAAATGAAAGCAATAAATCTAAACTATGAAAGCAATTAAAGAAAGCAAGTAAATGAAAATATTAAAGAAAGCTTATAAATCTAATATATGAAAGTTGTAAATGCAGAGAAGTAAAAGCATTGAATTAAATATACTTCTACAAAGCTATAAAATTTGCAAGAAACATTAAGTGTAAAAGCAAAATCAAAATGAAATTTGGACTGAATATTGGTTAAGAATAGTGAAGATTATAATAAAAAACTATGTTGATTTTCTAATCATAAGCTTACTTTTATGACTATCATTGATTTCTATAAATTGTCTTGTGTAAAACCCGGAAAAATAATTATATATTTTAAGGTAGAAATTGAAGTAAGGAAAGTAATTAAATTAAAAATTTAATAATATTGCAGAGATGAAGCGTGACTCATTTGGTTAGATCTTTGCCATGAGATTTGGGGGTCATGGGTTCAATTCTTATATGTGTGTTAGAACAATTATAATTTTTCTATTATTTATAATTATTTAGAAAATACTCATGTGTGTGCTGAGTATGCTTAGGGACTTAGCAAATTTTAATTGTCATGTTTAGAAATTATTGGTTGATGGTTGTTTTCTTGTATGCAATGTATGTGTGGGTACATTGTAATTTTGCTATGTGTGTGGATTGACAAGAAACATAGGATGACTGTTATGGTTTGGAGTAATGCTTGAGTCTTGGGGTTGTGAGTTCAAATCTTGGCTAAAGTAAAAAGGAAGAAATAATGTGTATTTTTTTTCCTACCTTAGGAGGTGAACAAGTTGGGACAGATACATTGATGTACACAGTACATGTAAGTGGGCTGGAAATTGGGAGACGAAGGGATTCTCAAAGAAAAAAAAAGTAATAATAATAAGTAATAATAATATATAATTTTTAATTTAAATTTTTATTTATATAGTCTCGGTAATATAAAGCAAAGGGTGATGAGAGCTAATTTAAAAATTAGGGTTTGGGAGAGGGTAGAAAAAAACAAAACCGCTGGAAGGAGAAAAAAGGGGGACTGCATAGTTGGTGAGAGGCAACGAGGATTGGGAGCCAAAGAGAGTAGAGCAAGCTAAGTGATCTTGCTACAAGAATATCTAGGTAAAGGGTACCGAAACTTTTTTCTTATTATTATATTTTTTTAATCGGTTGATTTCTTGAGTTGTCAACATGGAATTGTAAGGAGTCTTTTTGTTATCAATCCTAGGCTAAATCACCATTTATCTCATTCCTACATGAGTTGGAACCAAACTAGAATATTTGATAAAAAGATTTTGTATGGTTGTTCTAGTATATTTTGGATACTTTACAATTCTCCTTTCACATTTTAGATTTTAGAAATGAATTTCTTGTATGCTAAAATCTAGAGTTAGCCATAAAAATCACTTAAATTGGATTTTTCTAGAAGAAGATGATGAAAAATGTATTGAGAGGTGTTGTTGGAAAAATTTGCATGTAAACAGAATCTTTGGGAAATTATGTAAAAATATGTACTTGATTTTTAATTCTGAAATTTTGGTTATATATTCCTTCATATGTTTAGTTCGTGTGTGATTTATTTCAAAATTTTCTAACAAGTAGATTTTCCATGAAAAATCTTGGAAGTGATTAGGTTTTGAGTTGGGCGAAACAGAGTTGCTATGTCCGCAACAACTTCAAAAAATCATATAAAATCAATATTGAAGTGTTTTTTAGATAAAATTTTTATCTTAGTTGTGACTGTATGTATTTGTTAAGTATATTTAATTTCATTATTTTATGACCATTATTTTATTTTATAAAAATATATCTTTGAGTACTTCCCTGGTAGTGGAATCTCCAAAACAATATTATTCCTACTTTCATTTCATGTTGCTACTATTGCTACTTGTTTTATTTTATTGTTGCTACTTGTCTATATTATTTTGGTGCAGAATTTGTGGGAGTTATAAGTTAAAATCCTTAAATGTAAGGAAAAAAAATACTTGAATTATGATATGATGTAATTACATGATTAGTTTAGGTATGTTTGATCTGCGATGAGATATTGTGTGCATATGTGTGTATATAGGTGAGGGAACAAGTATGAGTTCTTTGATAGCTATAAAGCCGGAATGATTTCTTTACCTAGAGGACTTTGTCGAGTCATGGTAAAGGGGTTTCGTTCCTCCATAAGTCTTTAACATGAGCTTAGCAAGAGTGTTCCATCCAAGGCTTTGTCGAGCGGGTGGAGTTGTTGCTAATAAATCTATGGAAAGTAGGGAAGGGACTTTTTCCAAGAGGCATTGGTGCGCAGGAAAAGTATGGGTTGGTGGTAATATGATAAAGCGTTATTGTTGTAGTGTTGAAAACATGTACTTGTAGATATTATGAATGAGTTTTGTTACATTAAGATAATGCTAGGTGAATTATATGTTGACATGCATGATATGTGATGGGATACATGTTTTGTTCACCCTTGTATGTTTGTGGTGTTGATTTCCACCTGTGATGATCGTATGACTTGTGTTATATGGGAGTAGATGTTGATGTAGATACTGTTAGAGAAGCTTAACGGTGAGGAGCTCGCGGGAAAGCTTTTTTTGGGAGTTTTTAAGACATTTTTCAAATATCCTTTTGAATATAATGTAATAGTGTAGTGATTTTGAGTTTGCATTGGAAAGACTTGATATTAAGTCTCATTTTGATGGTTTAAGTTAGTTGTTTTGGTAAACAATGTTTTATTTTGACAAATAAAGAGGTTTCAGATGAATCTTTTAACAAGTGTTATTTGAGATAAAATAATTGTAAAAAAAAAATTACACGTAGCATCTCGAAAGGGGTGTTACATCTTACAATCACAAAAATAAATCCACAATAGTTCCAATCAATTACAATCCATTTGAAATTTGTAGTCACAACTTAATTCCTAAATCAACCAATCACTTAAACCTAGAAGTTGAATTATGATGTACATGAGACATTCAATCAAATAACCTCAATTACATTGATTGTAACGGATTATAATCGGTTAGAATCGTTAAGAACCAAATCTAAATCATAGAAATCAAGATTTAACCGTCTCCCCCACTCTCACTAGTTGTGAGCTTTCCCTCGCCGCCACAAGCTTTTCCCATCCTCATTCACCCAAGCATCACCTTTCCTAGCCTCCAATCCCAAAGCACCATCGTGAGCCACAACCAGCCCATCTCATCCACCACTTTCAAGCCAACCTACGCTTCACTCACCCTCCCAATTGTTTTCCCAACTCTAGCAATCACCGCGCCATGAGCCACCTAATCAAGCCACTGCGCCCAGAGCCACCCAGTCAAGCCCCCGCGCCCAAGGTTAATCGCTCCCACAAATTGTCGAACCACCACCACGGCCTCACCCTTGGCTCATTCTCCCGCGACCCACAAACCAAATATGTGATAGATGGAAGTCAGTAAAAGGAGCATTAAATTTGAATCTTATTACTGAAAATAGAATTGATTCTAAGAAATATGCAATAAATTAGTATTGAAATCTATAGAAGAACATAGGTTGATTCTCCAATCATCAACTGGTTCATATAATTGTCATTGAGTTTTAGACCTATTTACAATCATAAGTTAGATCCATTAAAGTTCTAAACATTTACAATCTAATTGAATTAAAACAAAATAATTCTTAAATTAAGCAATCACTTAAACCTAGAAATTGAATTATGATGCAAATTGAGACATTCAATCAAATAATCTCCATTGGATTGATTGTAATGGATTATAAATTATTAGAATCATAAATAATCAACTCAAAATCATAGAAAACAAGTTATAATCAATAAATCAACCTCTAAAGAGATTAAAAGGCATTGCATAGTGATAAAACAATCAAACAATGAAGGAAAACATAAATTCTCTAGAAAAAGAGAAAAGAATAAGAGAAAAACGAAAAATAAATGGAAGATATAAGAAAGAGGAAACAAATATAATCTAAAGCATCTTAAATTGATAATATTCAAGAAACAAATCATCCAACATCTTTAGATTTCGGATTTGGAAGCTAAGTTATAATCACATGAGCAAAAGAGAGAAAACAAGAGAGAAAGCTCAAATCTAAAACTTGAAATCTAAAAATAAAAACTTAGTTTATGTCTTTTGACCTTCTAAAGCTTATTTCTATAAATAACAAATGTTCTTAAGACGCACAAATTTCATACAAGGCTCAAAATCAATCAATTACATTACTTAGAACTTGAATAGACATTTTACAAAATAACGAGTTTTGCAACATTTTCTCTCGAAGAGTTTCTTCACCGGCTCAATAGAATTTTTATTAAATTAGTTATGCAATCTTTAACATTTTCATTCAATAAATTGATAATGTCTGGAATGAGATCTTTAATAAAGATTCATTGAGTGAAATTCTTCTTTATTGAGTGAATTTTTTAAAATAAAACTTTAATTTTTTTTAAATTTTATTATTCCTACAAAATAAATAAATAATTAATTAAAATATATTGATTAGACAATAAATTAGATATAAAACTATTTATTTCTTTTTTATCAAAATTATGTTGTTAATAATAATTAAATAATACAATTATTCATAAAAATATTAATAAAATATATTCATCAATATTTCAACCTACTTCTTTTGGTCTTATATGACTCATATTGATTTAACCACTATCATGGTCTCCTCAACTTGTATAATCTTGGCCTATACTATTTGATTATGATTTGACTTTATCCATCTCGTTAGTAAAAGAAAAATCGATACAAGAATCGAAAGAACAAGAGAGAGAAAATCGAAGATCATATGGTTGGTTAAAAAATTGATAAGAGGCAGGTAAAAGACACCTAGTAACCACAAGATAAAAATACATCGAAAATCAAAATCGAGAATCAAAGAAACAAATTTTGATGTCTATTGTTGAAGAGAATCGAGAAATTAGAAGCGAGTGCAAAGTTAAGATTAAAGGGAATCAAAAGCAATTCAAAGTACTCGATGTCTGAAATCGAGATCGAGGGAACGGTTAACACGCACATAGAACATGGGAAGCGGTTTTCTAAACCGTAAAACTAAGGGACGTGATGGATCGTGGTGGCAATTTTGTTAACTACTCTTAGGAGGTTATTTGAAGGGCGCTCTATAAATAGAGCGAAGCTTGAGGAAGAAGGGGAAATTGGCGGAGACAACGAAGCTCAAGTGAACAAGTGCTACAGGAGAAGCGACACATCATGAAGTTTCTAATGCTCCGGATTTCCGTTTTCATTGATTGCCTTTATCGCTTTCTTTACTTTCCCCGATAATTTTACTTTCATTACAACTTTACGTTTATCAACTTTAAGTTTGTCCTTTCAATTCCTTGTCATTTACTTTTGTGCAAGTTAAGGTTATGCGTTTAAGATACTTGTCATTTACATTTACTGCAATTTCGATTTCCCGACATTTACATTTCGCAATTTCGATTTCTGTTATTTACATTTCCGCAATTTCGATTTCTTGCCATTTACATTTAATGCAAATTTGAGGTTTCCGTATTTTACATTTCCCCGCAATTTAATATTCTCGCTACCGCTTTTTGATTTGACACTTTCTTTACTTCGCATTTCTTAACGTAAAAACACCAAAAATAGTACTTTCCCGCACTCTAGGTCATGTGGTTTGCATCTTTTCGAGATTTTGGGATTCTCGATTCTCATACACATTTCGACTCGAAAACCGCCTGCTAGCCTAAGTAAAAAGAATCTACATGGTTGAGATTTGATTAG